TCTGATGTGTTAATCCATGGTCATCCATGGCCCACCCTTTGAGGGGTACTGTCTGATAATGTTATTCACTCTTTACACATGAATTTGAGGCATAAAGAGGTCAAATAATTTATCCCAGGCCACACAGTGATCACTGGCAAAGCAGAACTTTGGCACTCATGCCCATGTGCTGGGCATGTGGCCTCTCATGAAAGATTTTTTAATTTGGCATGATAAGGAACCCAACTATATCAATAAACATAAGAAACATAATTAGAAGTCACATTCTAAGAGCATTAATTGACTGTTAAAATGTTTAATAAATTAGATGGAAATTATTTGAGAAACATAAATTTAGTACTACTTTGTTGTACTAGTGGTTATTTCACGTTAAAGGTTGCATCATATAACTAAATAAATATTAATATTCCTGCTGCTTATGTATTTATTTACCAGATGGTCAAAAATGTTACCAACTCTGTTACTCTGCACATACATTCTCTACCCTTTCAGCCATATGGTAGAAATGCTAATATGTAATCTGAGTCAGGAGAGCATCAGCCATGACAGAGCTACAGGATATATGTATCATTTGCCACCCGGTTTCCTAACAATAAATGATTTCAATGTAATCCATTCATTACATTGATTTTTTTAAAACCACAGTAACCTTCAAAAGCCTTGAACTTGTGCACTATATTTAGTGTTTTATTTTTGAAATAGATTATTTGCAGCACACCTGTTAATAAAATATCAGATATCACAGACCTTGCCCCATAGGAGAAAAAAACACACACAGAGGTGAAAATGACTTAGCTGGAGTAAAAAAATGGAACAGTATAATCACCAGTAGAAGCAGAAATGGAAATAAAGGAGCTGTTGTTGAAGTTCCTGGTTTTTCATCATGGATAGTGACTCTTTTGTCAGCAAGTAATGACTTTAAGAACACTGCCAGGTAAATCACTAAAAAAAACCTTAGACTTACAGCTTATAGTCATATTGTTGTTTTTACTTGTTTTCAAATACAATTCAAACATCCTGCATATCCCTAATTATTTCTCCTCCCCACCAATCTATGAGATGATGGTGATGAAATTCAAGACAGACCAGCATCCTGAACATGTTCAATTTCTACTCTTAGACAAAACACAAAATTCTGTTCTACTGGATATCACAACAAAGAAAAATTATTTTAAAAATACAATGAGTAGCGAGAACTGCAAAATACCAAACTGCAAATGTCAGTCTCCCTGCTGTTTCAAAACTAGGGTATTTTAAATCAATCAATTCTTCTAGATACCAAACACACCCACGAAAGCCAGTATTAAAAAGATTCGCTAGTGGAGCTCTGAACTTTGGTTTGACCTTCCTTAAAAATTTATAATCCTCAGCAAATGTTAATATGATGCTAATAGAGGAAGGCCATGTAAAACGTTCGTGGCAATTCAGAAGGGAACTTATGGGAATCCTGTCTCCTTAAAAATCTTGATTTGGAGGGTATATTGGGTCTCCCACATTCCAGGGTCATGACTCATTATGATAATAAGGGGAACTGTGCTTCTGCCTTTTCTAATCTACTTCATGTCATTCAGCTGCTACCAAACCATCTTTTCATCCTTGATACTGTACTGCTCAATGCAGTGTGCTGACTTGTCCTGATTAAATTACTCCACACCCGGCCCTTCTCCACTTGGTGTGTTTTTATTCGGTCACCAAAACAGATATGCTTTATTAGACGTGGAAAGACTGACAGGGGCAGGTGATTAGCGGGAGTGTCCTTCTGACATATGCCAGCAGCACTATATGAATGTTGAACATGATTCATCAACCAGCTGTCTGCCTTAAAGGCCTGTAGGCCTGAGGTCATGTTTTTTGTAAATAAATGCTGACATGCCAAAGTGGCACAATGGATTTCTTTCCTAAGCAATAAAGTTGATCTTCACTGCAAAAGAAGTTAGCACGCCAAGCTACAAATGATGAAGACAAATTTAAGTGCAAATAAACACAGTTGTTCCAAGTTCATCAGGGTTTTTTTTTCTCTTTAAATTGTTAAGACTACAAGTTAAAAAGGAATAAGAAAATGTAAATGAAGATACAAGGATGCTCAATGAAATGCGATGTAAACCTGCTGGCAAATTGATGAAGATTAGCTAGAAATTGCATTTATTGCAACAGAACTTTTGTGTTTATTATCTCATTGCCTCATACTCATTGCCATGAGGGAGGCAGAATCTAAATCATCATGCCCAGCTTACAAATGAGAAAAGAAGGGCACAGATTGGTTGAGTCTCTGGCTTCAGGTAAAAGAAGTGTAAGTGACCTACAGTAGCATGGAGCTCCAGTTCCCTCCACCCCTCTTTAGAGCCTCTCCAACATTCAATGCCAGCTCTCAAGGCTGTGAATCAAATATTAATGTTTTGGGGAACCAAAGTGGGATATTCTTTCAGGGCTGCTTTGCCAAGAAAATAAAAATCCTAACCATGGATATTTCAGACTTGCCCTCCATGTTCTTGTACAGCTCAGTCTGTAACTCTTAGAATATTGCGGGGGACACAGCGAGCCACTCATGAATAATTTGCTGTATTATTCAATATTGACTTGTTTCCTCTCCTAGACTGAAATTCTAAAGGGCAGCAGGGGCAAAGACAAATGCTTTTGTATTTCTGAGCCCTAGCACTCCATGAGTTTGGCTTAATACACACCCTTCTCCTTTCTCACCCTCTATCCAATGTAACAGATGTTATAACATCTTCTGTCACTTATGGGCAGAGAATTGGGGGAATCCAAATGTCCAAGATGTTTAAGTACAAAACCACAAAGGAGCTGGGGCATCATTTTTTCAAAATGTCTGGCACAACCCCAAATGCACAGGGGAATCCTTTTGTCTGTTCACAACCTTGAGCTCCTTAAGAGCAGTTTACTGCTTTGATTAAAAACAACAACTCGGGGAGTTAGTGGTATTGAGTTAATTTTGGTTGCTAAGCAACCCACAAACTCAAAATTCCATCAATATTCTACTCATTAATTAGAATCTGCTCTTAACTTTGGTATGTGTTTCCTATGCTAAATTCTCATTTTCTTAAGCTGGTTTTTTCTGCTTGTCCTTGAGGTGGTACATTTACTCAGCAACTATGTGCCAGGCATATTTTAAAAATTACCTCATTTAACAACCCCAGGAGGAAAGTACTATTACCTCCATTTTACAGACAAGAAAATTTAAATTCAGAGAAAAAGTAAGTTGTTCAAGGTCACATTGCCTACAATGGAAGTAAGATTCCACCCAGGTTTGCCTGATTCCAAAGCTCACAGTGGGTCCTACATTATTTTGCTTCCACTACAAAAGGATTTAGAAAATGTAGCTTGTCTCCTCTCTGTGACATAGGTGAACCCTGGCATGTTTATTCATTGGTAACACATAGGAAATATCATTTTATTCTATCTACCTAAAGAATACTGGAGGTTCAAATGAAAATTAAAATTATTTGCAAATTTAAAAATAATATAGAAATAGCACCACTATATTTGTTGCTTTTGTGTTACAGAGCTGGGCCATTAGAAGAATAGAGTTTTTTTTTGTTTTTTTGTTTGTTTCATTTTGTTTTTTGAGACAGAGCCTCACTCTGTCACCCAGGCTGGAGTATAGTGGTACAATCTTGGCTCACTGCAACCTCTTGGGTTCAAGTGATTCTCTTGCCTCAGCCTCCGAATAGCTGAGATTACAGGTACCTGCCACCACCCTGGCTAGTTTTTGTATTTTCAGTAGAGACAGCGTTTAACCTTGTTGGCCAGGCTGGTCACGAACTCCTGACCTCAAGTGATCGCCTTAGCCTCCCAAAGTGTTGGGATTATAGGCATGAGCCACTGCACCCAGCCAAGAGTATAGTTTATTAAAAAGCTTTCTTTCCTCCAGATGATTACAACTGAAGACAGAAATACAGATGAGTCAGTTTTGGCTGCTATCAGTCTTTAAATTATAAATCCTAAACTAACTCATTTCTGCAGGGGTGATCTCTGTGTTATTCTCCCCTACCTTGTGTGTTCTGACTTCCTACTGGTGGTAGATACAGCTACGGTAACCATGCTACTCCTGAGTCTCCATTTTTCAATGGTCAAAGAGCCTGTTTCTGGGAAGCCAGCATCGATCTTCTACCTTAGATTAATGTTTAGTGCTTCCCTGCAAGTGTGTCCTCAAATCAGAGGACACATCAGAATCACCTGGGTAACTTGCTAAACATGCCCCCATGCCCCTTCTCTAGCGCCACCCAAGATAACTAAGCCAGACTCACTGCGGTAGGACCCAGGAAGATTAATTTCTAATAAGCTCCCAGTTGATTCTTATGCACACTAAAGTTTGACAGGCATTATTTTATGTTATTCCAGAATGATGTCTGAATTACCCTTGCCAAACATGTTTGCAGGATTTCAGCTTTGTCCATTTTTGCCTGACAACTGGCTGTCCTTCCATGCTGATTACTCAACATCACGCGCTTCGGTCCTCTTGCCTGTTGGTGGGATGTAGTGCTGGTGTTAGCTCACCATTCTCGTATCTAGTCTATCCAACTTGATTACTGCCCAAGAGAAGGGTTCTAGTCTTGGCCGTACCCCTGGGTAGCTATGTGATTTTTGTCTCCCTAGACTGGTTGCCTGATTGGTAAAATTAAAGAATTGGACATCATAAGACCTCTAAAATGACATGACTCCATATGATATGGAGTAGAAGACGATTCCAAATATGGGTCAAAATATAGAGCCGAGTGGCAGAACTGAATTGAGACTGCAGGTCTTAACACCAGGTGTTTGGCTGGGGCCCAGCTCCAGAGACTGTTGCTTAACTGGCCTGTTTTGTTGCCGGGGCATGGAATTTTTTTCACAAACTTCCCAGGGATTTTGATGTTCAACCAGGGTTAAGAACTGTCAAATGAATCTAGGAAGGAGGTGACAGGTGGAGGGCATGGGAGGGAAAAGAGACACCACAACATTCCAAAGAATAAAGGATCTGAATTTTAGTCCTTATTTTTAAGGAGCTGGAAAGGTACATTTCCTCTTCATGTGTTTTCACTTCCACCCTTTGCCCTGGTGAGAAGACATTTTCCTTCCGTACACTCATCAGTCCAAAAAGAATCAAGGCTTCTGAACATTTTGCAGCAGCCTTTCCTGGCCATGGTGGCCTGAAGTGCACCTTGTACGCTGAGGTTTTTTTTGTTTTTGTTTCTGTTCTTAGACAGAGTATTGCTCTTGTTCCCCAGGCTGGAGTGCAACGGCGTGATCTCAGCTCACTGCAACCTCTGCCTCCCGGGTTCAAGCAATTCTCTGCCTCAGCCTCCCGAGTAGCTCGGATTACAGGCACCTGCCACACAGCTGGCTAATTTTTGTATTTTTAGTAGAGATGGGGTTTCACTGTCTTGGTCAGGCTGGTCTCAAACTCCTGACCTCGTAATCCACCTGCCTTGGCCTCCCAAAGTGCTGGGATTACAGTCATGAGCCACCACGTCCAGCTGTAAGCTGAGTTTTTAATGGCCTTTATTATCTGCCTACATGGCCTCCATCATAGATTGTGTCATATTGACCATTATGTATATTTTTCCTTTTTAAAGCATCATAACTTTTTAATTTTTTCAGTTGGGTTACATATTCAAGCATTTAAAAAATGGGGTATGTGTGTGTGTATAGAATAACAGTTTTATTGATAGACTGTATATATATATATATTTGAAATGTTCCTCTGTCTAGCACAGAGTGGGTCTTTAGTAAACGTTCACTGACTGATAAAGAGTGCACAAGTAGAAAAACAGTGTTTGAAATACAGCTTGGGAATATGGCTTAGTAAGTCAGAAAGCTCAAGTAGGATATGACCAATACCTGAATTAACAGTTTAGGTGTGGATTTAAAAAAAAAAAGAAAAAGAGGAAACATGTATTAGACTATGAGGAAGAAGTGAAAGGGTCTGCTGAGACAGAGGAATGAAGAAGGGTTGAAGACATTTTGGAGTTATACAAGATCTTGAAGTTAGGGAAAAAAAAATCAGAGGAAAAAGGAACTCAGTTTTAGCCATATTTGATGCTCTGAGTCTAGCAGAATTTACAGAAGAAGATAAGGAGTAGGATGAAGGGAGAGAGATTTAGCAGTTACTATCACACAGGACAACGGTATATAAAAACTGGGATTGTGAAGATTATTAAGAAAGACATGAAAGTGTTCACAGGGAGAAATGAAAGTGTTCACAATAGATTGTGAAGACTACAAAAGTAAAGAATAGGATAGGCACATCCTATTAGGGGCTCAGACCTATAATCCCACCACTTTGGGAGGCTGAAGCGGGTGGACCACTTGAGGCCAGGAGTTCAAGACCACCCTGGCCAACATGGTGAGATCCCCGTCTCTACTAAAAATACAAAAATTAGGCATGATGGTGGGCACCTATAATTCCAGCTACTCGGGAGGCCGAGGCAGGAAAATCATTTAAACCTGGGAGGTGGAGGTTGCAATAAGCAGAGATCATGCCCCTGCACTCCAGCCTGAGCAACAGAGCAAGACTCAGCCTCAGAAAAAAAAAAGTGTAAAGAATATGTCATTAATGTTTATACTGATTACATATTGAAATAATAGTGTTTTAGAAGTAGTGGGTTTTGTAAAATCTGTTATTAAAACTGTCTTTACTTGTTCTTTTTTTTTTTTTTTTTTTTTTTTTTTTTTTTTTTTTTTTTTTTTTTTTTGAGATGGAGTCTTGTTCTGTCACCCAGGCTGGTACAGTGGCACGATCTTGGCTCACTGCAACCTCCGCCTACCGGATTCAAGCAATTCTCCTGCCTCAGCCTCCTGAGCAGCTGGGACTACCGGCACATGCCACCACACCCAGCTAATTTTTTGTACTTTTAGTAGAGATGGGGTTTTACCATATTGGCCAGGCTGGTCTCGAGCTCCTGACCTGATGATCCGCCTGCCTCAGCCTCCCAAAGTGCTGGGATTACAGGCGTGAGCCACCACGCCCAGCCACTTGTTCTTACTTTAAAAAAATGTTGCTACTAGAAAATTTAAAATTACATATGTGGCTTGCATTATATTTCTATTGGACAGTGCTGGTCTAGAGTCGCAAGTAAGAAGAAATGAAAAGACTTGGCATAATGCTATGCAAACATTGCATATGTATAATACATAAGTGTATAAATATGGAAGAATTATCCAAGATTCAGAACAGAGTGTTGATGAAAATTTAAATGGTATTGGTTACAATATTCATATGCAGTCAAAGCATAGATGTCACCATCTGGTTTCTGCCTACAGGGGTGGCCAGCCCTACTACAACACTTGGCTCCTTTATCCTGCCAAGGGAAGTATCACTTTTTCCTTTTGGCTGAGGAGCGTTCCCCTTTCCCAAGCAATTATATTACATGGCTTAATTTTTTCATTTCATCTTCTGATGTGGATTCTAGAGTATCCACACCATGTATTGTTTTCACACAATACATGGAGACTCTTCATGTACTATCAGTCTCCTAGGCTGGAGCATGCCTTTGATCCCCCTTACCAATGAGATATTGGAGTCTCCTTGAGACTTGAGGAAATTAGAGAACATACCGACAGAACACGGTGGACTTTTTTCTGTTCTCGTGTCTCAGCTAACATCACAGTTACCTCTATCCATGATTGATCTCTCATTTTATCACACACTGTGGTAGGCAGAATTCTAAGATGCTCTCAACATGTCTGCCCTTCTGGTATACATGCCATGTATAATTCCCTCTTCTTGAGTGTGGGCAGAACCTATGAGATAGATGCTCCCTTGATTAGGTAACATTATATGACAAGTGGTGGTGGAACAGTCACTCTCATGATTATGTTAAGTTATATAGGACTCCACCACAGGAGAGAGGTTGGATGCCAGAGTGATTGATGTGCTCCTACTGGAAGAAGGCAAACATCCATATGTGAACTGCCTGTGGGGTTTCCAATGAAAGGAACAGCAGGTGGCCTCTATGAGCTTGAAGAAGTCCCAGCCAACACTTAGCAAGATAGATGAGACTTTAGTTCTATATCCACAAGGAACTGTATTCTGTAAGCCATCTGAAAAGCTTGGAAGAGAACCCCAAACTCCAAATAAGAAGTTCAGTGTGTCCAACACTTTGATTGTAGTCATTTTTTTATACAGCAAGAGAAAACTAAACACACACATAAATGGTATGAGTACTCACTGTACATAAGGCTTTTCATTAATAATCTATAATTTTATGATGGAATTAGAATTTAGATCTGTAAAGCTGAAGACAATCTTTGCTAGATTTAAATCAGGAAAATCGGGTGAGAATAGTTCCTTGATAGAACCTGGAAAACAAGAGCCTATGAGAGATCCTGGGAATTCTATTAAATTCACCGTGATTCCCAGTAACACGTAAGAGGTTTTCCTTTTATACAGTCAGCTAGTTACCATACTCTAAGCATTTGAACACATGGGCAACTTCCAGAACAGTTATGACATTCATATTCCAATTTCCAAAATTCCTGGAATACCATGTTTTCATGGTTGTCTTTCAGATCAGTCAGTTCTTTGTAACACTGAGCCATAAAGATAGGGCAAATATTTAATGTTTTAGATATAGTCAGAGATTGACACTCAAAATACAGCCCAGAGAAACTCAAAAGAATTAACTCTGTATTTCTTCAAATTGTGTGATGCCATCAAGGCCAAGTGACTTCAGCATTGGGAAGGCAATATCCAGGTGTCACCTTGATCTTCACATGCTACTACTAGCATCTGGCATTCACTGAGCAGATAGTTTTATTGTCCAGATTTTAAAGATGAGAAAATTGAGGTATTAGGAAAGTTATGTTGGTTGCTTAAGGAAACACAAATGATAGAGCCCAGACTCACTCCCAGGCAGGCAGATGCCAGTCTGCTTTCTTAACCACCACAAGATACTGCTACATGTACAATTTCAATAAATATCTGGACTTACTGGAACAAAACAAATCAAAAACATTCTTACTTTCTTTCTTCAGTTTAGATTAAATAAATGTCTTCTTAAGAAACCACAGTTTTTTGAGCCACAGTGGGATAAGAAGGTAGATCCTACTCGTTGAGTCATTCAGCCCTATAGTTGCAAAAATCCTTAATTTGAATAAGCAGCAGTTAATCTCCACTTCTCATGCTTGCCTTTAGACTGTTTTAAATAATTGACAGGCTCTGCTCACATTCTTCTGACTTCTCCATATCCTGGAAATGGTTAAAGGCATAAGCAGGAAGCCATTCCCTTTTGATGAGCTGCTGTGACATCATGCAGTATGTTTACTAAAGAGATTCCTGATGAAAGATGCAAAAGAAACTAGATACATTAACCAGTCATTTCTTTATATGAATCAACAGTAGACACCTGTGCTTTCTTTTACTCCAAGTGACCTATATGCAGAAAATGAACTCACTTTTTCTATGTTTGGATTAGGTTCTCAAGTGTCTTCCTGGCAAACAGCCCTAACAAGATCATGTATGATAGCTAATTAGCCATAATCTCTGCTTTTTCTTTTTTTCTGGCTAAATAACCAGGTTGACCACACATCTGGGTCAGGGGAGTCACATTTGGACTCTTTTAGTAGAGAGACTGCCAGATGTAGATATCACCCTTATTTTCTCAACAGCATGATACTTAATAGCACTTCTGTGCTACTTTAGCCAACCAGAGTCAATTCTGCCATAACACAACAACATATGTGATCCTAAACTGTCACAGCACTATGCTGAACTGTGCAATAACCACCACAGGACTCACAAGAAAAATGGGGTTAGGGATATAACACTTAAAATCTTCATCAGTGGCACATTCTTTAAAAGATAGGAATTGAATAAAAACAGTAGCACGGGGTGTGTGTGTGTGTGTGTGTGTGTGTGTGTGTGTGTTAAATGGTTAAAAATACACAAATGTGGCACTTGATCTGAAAAAAAAAAGGCCAAAAACTTGCTAGGGAAGTGGTATGGGAATGGTTGCAATTTGTGAGTTATGGTGAAGTGGTGGAAGAAGGAATAAAAAGTTGCCCTCTTTCTCAGCCCTTCAATCCTAGAATGAGCATGTTTTTGTATAGGAAAGTTGACAAGTGTGAAAGAATACCGAAGTGTAAATTTTCAGGATAATACATGGCGAACCAAGATAGCTGGCAGATGTTTGAGAGGTGTATGTGTTTGCATTTTGTGTATCCCTATATAGCTTAGGTCAGCTAGCTGCAATTTAATGCATTCATCCAGTGCTGCTTCTGGGTAAAACATGCATAAGCAAACATGAAAGTTTTATTATGCCCAAATCGTTCCCTAATATGTCAATTGTTGGAATAATGCTTACTTTCAAAACATGCATTATAACATAATTAATTGTATCATTAGCTCTCAAATGGTCATGAAAATACTGTCAATTAATATATGCAGTAATTCTGGGCTGGGTACAGTGGCTCATGCCTGTAATCCCAGCACTTTGGGAAGCTGAAGTGGGTGGATTGCTTGAGGACAGGAGTTTGAGACCAGCCTGAGCAACAAAGTGAGACCCCTATCTCTACAAAAAGTAAAAAAAAATTAGGTGGGCATGCACTTGTAATCCCAGCCATTCAGGAGGCTCAGGTAGGAGAACCACTTGAGTCCAAGAGGTCAAGGTTACAGAGAGCTGTGATCATGCCACTGCGCTGCAGCCTGGGCCACAGAGAAAGACCCTGTCTCACATAGTAATAATAATAATAATAATTACTATTATTTATTAAAACCCTGTCCTCATGGAGCTTGCATTTTAGTGAAATTCAAATGTTAACACTATTTAAGTCCAGTTTTCAAAACTGAGATCTATTTTAAATATTAATAACTAAAAATACATGTTATCTGCAAATAAACTACTTAAACTATTTTATTTATTTCATATATTAGAGATGGAGTCTCCCTGTGTTGCTCAGCTTGATCTTGAACTCCCGGACTCAAGTAATCCTCCTTCCTTGTCCTCCCAAAGTGCTGGGATTACACGGACATGGGCCACTGTGCGCAGCCATTAAAACTCATTTAAAGTCAGTTATTGCATACTAAAATTTAAATAAATGCTACATTTTAGAACAGTCTGAAGTCTTAATGAGATTAGAATCATTATCTTAAATTTCCTTTCATATCTGATCAAGTATTGATCAAGGATGGTCCACTAGTTGGTGGGTTTCCATGCATTACCAAGATTTAATATAAACTTGAAAATGAACACAAACAACAGAAAATAAGTTGAGATTCCACAAAATAAACTCCAAACAGAATGTTTTAAAGTACTTCTGTTTATCTCGTTTTCTCATGGAGGTTCAATTTCCTTTTATTACAGAGGGAAAAGGCACTATCTATCCTCATCCATTGTGACTTCCAGAACAACTATAATGTAACATGTGTTTGGAACTTGAATTCTAACACCACCCCTTCTCCATCCTGAATGGAGGAATAAGTAATAACAACCAGCATCTCTTAAGTAGCAACCCTGTATCAGAACCAGGATGAACTACTCCATGTATGTTATTTCATAGCTCCAAAAATACTGGGGGCAGGAGGGAGAGATAGTTATTTACCTATTTTTCAAGCATGAATACTTCTTTAAGAAAGACTTGGCCAAGTTAGAATTCAAATATCCTCATTCCTAACCTGAGTCTGTTTATACCATGCTACACTTTCATTTATAAATCAGTTACAGTTTAATCATTTAGACAGTACAGTGCATAAAGAAAACAGAGGAGAAATTAAAACGAGAATATAATCATTATGGAGAACAAAGATGAGACAGTGTAAGAATAATTGTTGTCTTTGAAGTAGAGAATTACAAAATGGGAAAGAAAAAGCATTCGTAATGAAAAAAAAATCCTGAAATTAAAAACAACATGTTATTCCAATAGGAAATATAGAAACAGAAATAATGTACCAGGTTCCATGAAAAATTGATACAGAATTTAACAATGACATAGCCTGAATTACTATACTTCAAGAATAGAAAGGATACTTTAGGACTCCAGGCAGAAAAAGGAAGTCAATTGCATGGGAGAAATTTGTTTTTTTTTAGATGGCGTTTCCTTCTTCTTGCCCAGGCTGGAGTGCAATGGCACAATCTCGGCTCATCACAACCTCCACCTCTTGGGTTTAAGCGATTCTCCTGCCTCAGCCTCCCAAGTAGCTGGGATTACAGGCACATGCTACCAGGCCCACCTAATTTTTTGTATTTTTAGAAGAGATAGAGTTTTACTATGTTGGCCAGGTTGGTTTCAAACTCCTAACCTCAAGTGATCCACCAGCCTCAGCCTGCCAAAGTGCTGGAATTATAGGTGTGAGCCACCGCGCCTGGCCAGAAAGTCTGAAACCAACCTTAGACTTCTCTAAAGACACATTAGATGCCAGCAGAGAATGGAGCAAGGGCTACATAATCCAGAGGTACGAAAACTGGCTCAAAAATGCTATAGCCAGCCAAATGGCCATTCAAGTACAGATGCTCCCCAAGGTACAATCAACTCATGGTAAGTTGAAAATATCGTAAGTCGAAAACAAGTTTAACTTACAGTATATTCAATTTATGATGATGATGCATTTAATTGGGTGCCATACCAAAAGTTGTGCATACTGAATGTTGTATTGTCTCTGCACCACTGTAAAGTTGAAAAATGGTTTGGTCAAACCATTGTGAGTCAGGGATGACTCAAAAGAAACATGGACATTCAAACATAAAAAGACACAAGAAATGAGCCGTTCTTGGAAATAAACAAACATTGACAAAATCTAGCTAATCAAAGGATGAATCAAAATTTAAAAGTTGATACTTGAGATGCCATGGTAAAAGGACCAGTGATTCATCATAATTCCATTTAGTTAGTTAGTAAGACTAAATTATATCTGAAATGAAGTTTACAAAACACGATGCAAATGTTATAGATTCTCACAATATAAACGTATTTTTTTAATTGGGGCTGGATGTAGTGGCTCATGCCTGTAATCCCAGCACTTTGAGAGACTGAGGTGGGAGGATGCCTTGAGCCTAGGAGTTTCAGATCAGCCTGGGTAACACAGTGAGACCCTAACTCTACCAAAAAAAAAGTTAGCTGAATGTGGTGGTGAGTGCCTACAGTCCCAGCTACATGGGAAGCTGAGATAG